CGGACAGACAAGGAATCGAAGAGACGAACGGATGAACGAATCGGTAAACAGATTTATATACCAGGAGCCGGACGGACAGCCAAAGAGCCACGAAACGAATTGTCAGAGATCACAAACCGACGATCGCGCAGCAACACGAGCACCAATATACCCCTCTCCCTCTCCTCAACAAGCTGAATGAGATTTTCGTTACACTTCATCCCCTCCCTTCGAAAAAAGGCGTGGCAGGTTTAGCTATAATGGCAAAGCTAACAAGCACGCTCGAAATAATAAACATGGCCAAATGCCACACACACACACACGCACTCTCTCTGTTTCCTTGTGTGTATGTGTGCGTGTGGCCCGAGTTTAGTTGCTATTAAAATTACCTGAACAACGGAATTTCGCAAATGCGAAAAGAGCTGCTTAATTCTGGCTGCATTGTTGTTGTTTGCTCTACGCAATTTAGCCCGGCCGGTCTGGGGCAATGCATTTAAATTATGTAAATAAATTTTGAAACTGTTTGCCAGCGATTTAGCTTTGAAAATATTTTGCTTGCTGCATTTTATGCTCGGCCATGTTTGAGCATTGCGGCCATTAGTTTGGTTTTTGTGCCAGGTCGCAATTCAGGTGACAATGCAAATAATTATGTAGCACACGCTCAATGAACTAAAAGAGAGAGAGAGGAAGAGAGAGAGAGAGAAAGAGCTACAATTGTGTTCGTGTGTGTGTTGGCCATTAAATAAATCAGAAAGTAATTAAAACAACATGAAATGCGAGCTACACGCTGCGGAAGCAACTCCCTACACACACACACTCGCACTCGAGTTTCCTCTGCTTCTTTCTATTTAGCAAACATACCAAAAAAAAGCGTGAAAAACGCAACCAACGGACTAACAACAGCAAAGCAGACAAAACAACAGCAACAAGAGGAGGAACAGAGAAGAAGAAGCAGCAGCCCTAGTCTGTCTCTCAGTCCGTCCGTCCGTCCGTCCGTTTGTCTGTCTGTCTGGCTGACTGGCGCAAAGAAAATGCAAAATAAACTTAATTTACGTTTATTTGTGTTGACAAATGTTTTTCCGAACGAGTGCAACTTTTAATTGCAAAAATTTATTTGATTTGCCAGCCAGTCTCTTCCTTCATCTCCCCCTTTGCCCTCGTTCCCATCCACACAGTCTCTAGTCGCTCTCCCGCTCGGTATTGGTTTCATGTTTGTCTTTTTGTGCTTTTCGCGTAGGTGGAACCAAATATAGCACAGCTCTTCTAATAAGCTCTACTGTGTGACTTGGCCTTCACTATTTAACTTGACAGTTGATTGGGCTCAAAGCTAAATTACGTTAAGGCATTCAAGGACTTTCACTGAACCTTTTCTCTTTCTCAATTAGCTATAATTCCCAAACATTTGATTCGATTTATCAGTTGCATTATTTATTTTATATTAAATTATTTGTTTTTCTTCAGGTGCATAATAAATGAACTAATGTAAAAAGAAACTGCAGTGCATCTAAAGTAGTAGACAATTTACGTTTACTGGCGCCATCTATGTGTCAAGAATCTACTAATTAATTTAGATTTGCACAGGGATCTAAAGTGAGACTTGAGATGACTTTTATAAGCATCTAATAGGCTTATGTTGTATGTATATTTAGTTGAATTATTGTAGTTTTTTTAATGTTTACCTTTTTTTATTATACTTTATATTGAAAAATAAAATTTTTAGTTTTGTGTTTGCAATTTTAATCAAATATCTAAATATTAATTGCATTAGTAAATAAATATATATACTTATATATTTTTTATCTAATTTATAAATATATATTTTTATTTATTTTTTTATTTTAATTTTTTTTATTTTATTTACTTATCTTTTTTTTTCGTTTCTCACAGTTTTTAAATCCATTTTTAAAATATAAATTGCAAATATATAAATATACAAATAAATATATATACATATATATTCTTTTTATATTTCTAAATTACATAAACATTTTTTTCTGATTTTTAGCATATAGCTTAATGCTAAATTTTGCCAAAAAAAATCTCATATATAAAAAATAAATCAATTTATAATCTCTTATTCAATGCAATCTAGAAAGCCAATTGATTATATATAAAAGCTTTAGCAAATAGGCTTAAATGAATAGAAGCAATTTAACCACAACAAAAAATGCAATACAAATAGGTTTTTTTTTTCTATATTAACGACAGAGCATTACAGACACATAAAAGGCCATTTAAGCTATGGCCGTGCGGATATATAATCTACAGCCATTTGTCTCGCTTATGTTTGTCAGTGCGCATGTTGCGGCCAGCTTGATGTTGCATGCCACATTCAAATGCTACACTAGCCACAAACATACGCAGAGTTCTGTGCGCTTTTTCAAACATTATTTGGTTTCGTTCTTCTTTTTATTATTTTTATTATTTTTTTTCCTTGTTGTGCAAATGTTAAATGCTGCGCCTTTGTCTGGCATTTAGTGCCGCAATTTTTTGGCAGCTGCAAATTGTGTGTTGGGTCAGGTGAAGTGCTTCACTAACCGCTGCCAATGGCTGCCTCTGTGTGTGTGTGTGTGTGTGTGTGTGTGCCCTGACATATGCGCATAAACACATGCATATTGTAACAGTTTCAATGGCTGCCCGCAATATTTGTTTGAGCTCTATTTTATTTATTTATTTTTCTCACTCTCTATTTTTTCTCTCATTTTATGCAGCAGCTGTTGCTGTTTTCTGTGCTCCGCCAACATAATAAAAATTTGAAATATTCAATGGCAATTATGCTGCATGCTGCATGCTACATGCAGCCATTGCCCTCTAATTATTCGGTTTCTTCAACGTTCATTGCACTCGCAGCAGCGGCGACGGCAAAAATGTCGGCAAAACAATTTCAACGGGTTTTGGTGTGAAATTTTTCTGTCAACTTTTTTCGCACTGTCTCCCTTAAGTTTTTATCCCCTTCAAGTGCATTGAGCGAGTGCGAATTGCGGGTATACTGATTAGACTGGACTAGTTATAATATTTATACATACATATATATACATACTTATATGTGGATTTAAAAAGAGAATTTAAAAGAGACTTTTCAGTAGATCTGAGCCTATTCATGCTTTCTCTGTCTATTCTTTTTTCTTGTTATATTTATTTATATCTCTTTAGGTGTATAATAAATATTATTATTATCATCCTTTACAAATTTTGCCAATTTTAGAACGTGTTACGAATCATTTTTATTATATATTTATTTTTAAATATATTTTTTTTTTTTATAATAAGACGAGGTAAAGCTCCATCGATCGATATTAAAGTCTTATAGGATTATTTATTGAATATTCAAAGATTTACAAAAAAGAAATTTTTAAATATTTAAATGAACTACTCTAACAAATATTTATTTATTTATTTATTTATTTTTTTTTTTTTCATATTTCAGAAGAGAAAAAGTGAAAGCAAAGCTCAATGTTAAGTTAGAAGGCTCTGTGCACTATCTCCAGGGTATTTGTTAGTCAGGCACTTCCAATTGGCAAGCCAACCCCCATTTTTTTCCTGTTAGCCATGCCTGCAGGCGGAATTTTCATTAAAGCATTTTTGATGTCTAATTTGCGTAGTTTTTCGCTTTTTTTTTTTTTTTGTGTGTTTGTCTCCTGCTCCCAGCTGACTGAGAAGCCGTCGCCTTTTTAGCAGGCGACTGACACGTTAAGCATTCAAGGGATTGTTTTGGCCAGAAGAGGCGAAGCTGCCTGACTCTTTTGTCTTCTATGTGCTTCTCCCTTTTTTTTCTATGTCTCTTGTTGTTGTGCTGCAGTTGTCAGTGGCCGTTGTTGTTGTTGTTGTTGTTGCCTTTCAGCTCAACTCTGATTTGCTGTGTGTTTGTTGTTGTTTGTTTGTTTGTGTGCTTGGCCTGCTTCTTTGGTCGCTCCTGCTTGTCGGACAAACTGTCGAGTGGCAACACTAATTCGCATGCAGCAAAACAACAAATGCACATGCCCATGCACATGCACACATTTGCACACTTTTTATGTTGGATTTTCAGCTAAATTTGTGCCAGCGCTTTAGACGCCTGCTTTTTGTTAATTTGCAATTTTCTAACCATATCCATTTTGACTGCGTCAGTTTGCATCTGTATGTGGGTATATGTGGGTGTGTGTGTGTCTGTGTGTGTGTAGGGCATATATGTATGTCAGAATGCTTCACTGGTCAGCATTTCGTTTGCTGCCTGCCTGCCTGGCATTAATTCAATTTCTGTTTGCATATTGCCAGCTTCTGTTACTCGTCCAATTCTGTCTATGTGCACATATATTTTTTTTTGTCTTCCTCTGTAAGCCTTTGCAATTGCAGCTCATGTGTCAGCAGGCCTAAATGGAAGCCCACTCTTTTTTTATTCACATCGGTTTTCAACAGTTTCCACTAAAACAATTTTTGCATCAGGTTTTAATGTCGTGTCAATTTGCCACGTTTTGCTGCAGCTGACAGCTTAATTAATTTCTTATTATTAATCATTTTTATTTATATAAAATTTGTAAAAAAATGTAACACTTTTTCTTTAATTGGTATTTATTTTTTATATGTATGTAGCTTAATAAACTTAAAGCTTATTGTTGAAAAACTTGAGGTAATTCTATACATTTATAAAGACAATATAATGTTAAGAGTAGAACTTTTTTATAAAATACGGAGCTCTATATATAAGCTTTATAGACCTTTAATATTCAAGCAAAACTAAAGGGATGTGATTGAATATTATCTATATATTTAATATTTTATAACAAACATATTTTTATATATTACTTTTAATTTCATGTATATTAAATTATAAATTTTTATAAAGTTTGATTTGTTTTAAAACAAATGTTTGTTGTTATATTTTATATTTTTATTTTATTTTTATATTTTAAATATTATATATTTATATTTTCCTGATTTAATCCTGATTTTATATATATTTATATTTTTATATATTATTTATTAATTTTTTATTATCCTTGTGGTCAAAGAAGTTTCTTAGAAAATCACTTAAATGCACTTACCAAAGTCTTGGACACCATGGCGTATGTGTATTCTATTTAATTGTTTAAAATACGTTTTATTTTTTATGGCTTTTCCTGGTAATGCAGAACGAAAACTTTAAATTTTGCAGCCGCGCAACACTTGGCTCAGACACGTGCACACTTTTATTTTTTGTTATTTTCGGTGTAGTCTGATCAATTGAATAAATACAAATGCCTATATATTCTTAAAAAGTATGCTGTAAGTTGTAATCGCGCCCGGAGTTTTGTGCGGCATGCTTGGCGTGACGAGAATTAGTGGCCAATTGTTGCGCTACGGGCCATTTATAATGTCGCAGCGCCCTGCAATAGGCAGCACTTATTTATATTTATATAGAATTATTACAATGTGCTGCCGTCTATTGTTAGATACGCCACCAGATCTATGTACCTGTAGCTGTATCTGTATCTGTATCTGTGTGTGTGTGTGTGTGTGTGTGTGTTTGTGTGCATTTGTCATTGGTTAACCGTCACTTTGATGACAGTGGGAAAAGCCCTTCGGCAAGTGCGAATTTTTGTTGCTACCAACACGCAATTAGCTAATGCAATGCGCGAATAGCTGTTGCTCTTATCGCACAGTGTATAAATAAATATATATATATAAGACTATATACATTGTTTGTATAGCTATAAAAGTGAGGAACTGCATCGTTTCCATGGCAAATCGACTGCAAGCTAATCCATCGAGCAAGCGCAGAAGAAACTCAAGTAGATATACTCGCTCGACATGTGTAGAGGGTATATTGGGGTGTGTGTGTGTGTGTGTATTTGTGTGCATACTTAATTTAAGCAAATTTTGCTTAGAATTGTTAAAAATCTTTTGCTAAAATAATAGAGAAGCTAATTTATAATTAACTTAATAAGAATACAACAGAGCCAAAAAAATATTTAAAAAAAAATAAATAAATTCAAACAAAATAGCTTGTTATATATGTTATAGAAAATATTCAATTCTGTTTTTTTTTCTTGCATTTTGTTTTCATTGACCAGCTGAGCGAGTATCTTGCAGTCGCTGGCACCCTGCAGCTGCAACAGTCTTGCTTATTTCCATTCAGGCATTAAGACAAACAGACGATAGACAACCACGCAATGTTAGAGTAGCGAGCCTTATAAACAAGCTGTGTATAATGCCTGCTGCTGCAGTGGCACTCGCGTTAGCTTACTGGGCAGCAGCCCGTTTTGCTTATCTATCAAACACACACACACATGCACAGGGAAACATCTATGGCTATTACGTAGTTTGGGAATATTCCGCATACTGATAACATTTGAATTTTGGCTTGATTTATGAGCCATTGCATGAAACACTGTGTATGGCTTATCAACAACAATAGCAACAATAGCAACAACAACAACAACAACCGTGTATCACTCACATGCTAACACCAATACTTGACTGTTTGTTGGCTCGCTTTAACAGACCCATTCACATTTAATTCACCACAGTTCACAATAAATTGAAATACACTCCAATACTTGTGCATATCGTTCGCAAAACATGAATGGAAACACTCAAATTATGCTGGATTTATGATTTGGGTCAGTGTGCACTTCATTTGCGACATCAATTATTCAAAGTCCACTGCAAACGAATATATTTGCTGTTGAATTTAAAGGATTATCGAGACATGGATGGCTGCAGTGTTTGCCTTAAGGCTGAGCTAAGCTCGGGCTTATGCCTTGATTCCATTTATATGAATATCTCATTTATGCCCAAAGAACTTGAATCCGATGAGAGCAATTGGATTAGGAGTTAAGAATCTGTCATGCTCACTTGAGTCGAATAAATTGCCGAAATTTATTTATTAATGAATGTGCATTTTATTTGCTTTAAAATTGTTTCGAAAGTAATAAAAAACAATAAAAATCGAGAGCAGAAATTAATATAAATTGAGTGAAGTATTCATTGCATTTTTAATGTAAAAATAAATTAATAATTAAATATAAAAAATTAATAAAAATATATATAAAATAAATAAAAATAATTAATAAATAAATTAAAACAAATAAAGTGATAAATAAATAAATAAACAATTAATTATTTAAGTAATTAATATTACAAAAAAAAAATAATTAAAAAAATAAAAACAAATAAATAAAACTGTAAAAAGAATTTAAAATATATTCAGTTTGTATAGAAATTATAGGAAATTAAGACTTACCTGACCAATCAAGGCATTTATTTGATTGAAAGCCAATTACTGCTGCTTATTCTTGGTTTGCATTGTTCTTGCTATACCATACAGTGTTCTAGGAATTCGCAAACAAAGAGAACAAAAGTCCTTCGGTTTCTCGAAAATATTTCCTGAAATAAATTAAGCTGAAATTTGAGAGTGCTGCAAGGCCTCGAAAGACAATAGAAAGAGCTTAGCCTTGAGTATTTGACCCTGATACTATGATAGAAATGTTTTCTCGGAAAATTAACGAATTTGCCGAGAGGCTGATGCAGTGGGTGTTTCTGAATGAACTTAATAAATATGTAGTAAAACTGGACAATATCAGCTAAGATCAAACTATATTATTAACAGTGAAAGCTGTCAATAGCATGCACAGCCTTAATTAATTTAATTTAATTAACAATTTAGTCTGTCATATGAAGATATTTAAGAGATAAATCAAATAAGTAAAATAAAAATATGTCTCTTGCTTTTTCTATCCCTTGAGCCTTCTAGTCCTTGCACACTCATGTGTCCATTTCAGAGCCATATGAAAAGAGAAGACTTCTGCTTGCTTTCTTTCTTTTACTGCCACATGCATAAGGCAATTGAGCAAATGCTTACAAAGTTGCAGAGCAAAAAAACCCTACACACACATACACATAGACACACTGGCACATGGACAAACACGATTGCATATTTTAGTAGCAGCTGCTGCTGCTGCGCTGCAAAGTATGCAACACAAATGTGTTTGAGTAGTGAAAACTGTGGCATGCTTTGCCGCTTGGTATTTGATTGACAACTCGACGAAAACAATTTGTGTGCATAACGAATTTGAAGCAAAAATTCCATAGCGCAAATTGTTTAGCACCTAGCACGAACAGCAAATAAACAGAGGGAGAGAGGGAGAGTGAAGAAGAGAGAGAGAGAGAGAGAGAGAGTGGCAGACATGTGGCCAAAATACCTAGTTGATTTGTTGGACACGTATGTTTAATGTCAGACAGTTAACGAAAGCAACTGAGTGAATGAATGTGTGTGTGTATGTGTCTATGTGTATGTGTGTGTGTGTGAGTGATTGGTTTGTGCACCCCTTATAAAGAGTTGTACTAATGAATTGCAGCTCAGCTCAGACATGCACATTTCAAGGAAATTCATTTGCTTTCACCTGCTTTGACTGTTCCTTTGCTGCTTTTCTTGACGTTCATTTATTAACTCAACTCACTTTGTGGTTGACTAATTAACAGTTTTAAGTGCACCCACACACTCACTCACACATACATATATACTCATGTTTAAATATGCATTGTTGACAAACTTTTCTGGCCATCTTTAAGTATTCGTCAGAGCAGCTCTCTGTGGCCTTTAGTTTGAGTTTTTGTTGCTTTCTTGACCGTTTCCTGCCGGTGCTTCTGCCGCTGCAGTCGTCGTCAACATTTTTAGTTATTTTTTAGTTGACTTCATTTTGTTTTGTGGCCTTTATTGTTGGCCAGGCTTACTGCAACTTTTTGACTCTTTCGCATCACTCATTTTCATTTTGCACATTGCCCTGTTCGTCTTTTCTCTTCCTTTTTCTTCTCCTTCATTTTTTTCCCCCCGGTTGTTTCTGGGGTTTTTCTTTCTGCCGCATGGCCTGCAGTTGGCATCTTAAAGTTGTTGAAATAATTGCCCAACCAGCGGCTAGGGACAACTTTGTGCGCTTTATTCTTTTGTGGTTCTAAATTCTCCGCACTCAGTTTGGACTCTTTTCCTTTCCGTGTTTTTGGGTGGAATTTTTATTTAGTTTCTGTTTCGTTTTGTGCTGGGATTTAAGCTTTAAAGAGAATACATTTATGGGGAATTATGATTTAGTAGTAATTTATAAAGTATAAAGTATTTATTTAATATGGAAATTAAGCAAAAATGGTTTAGAGAAAATAAATAGTTTTAAAAATAATTATTTGTTATATTTAAAAAAAAAAATAAATAGAAAAATTAATTTATTTATATATTATTATATATATATAATATATATATAATTTATTAAAATAAAAAACATAAAATTATATAATTTAATATATATATATATATATATATATATATATAAATTAATATATATATTTAATATATATAATATTTTTTAGACTTTTACAAATGTCTGTTTATTTTATTTTCTTTTTTTTTCATTATTATTATTTTTTTTATCTAACAAAATTCTCCTTAACTTTCTTTCCGCCTTGCGAATCAATCACAAGGCAGCGCTATCAATAACAATTACTACAATCGCACCGTACATTGATACTGAAATGGCTGCAATAAGCCATAAGGCATGACAAACGTGATATATGGCAAAACGTTAACACTCGATCATACTTGATGTTGTGAAAGTTGTCTAGGTTGCTTAAGAGGCGAAGGGTCCTGGAATCACAGAGATATATAAAATGATATCAACTCTGCTTTCTACTTCAAATACGATCAACAATCGTAGCTAACTTTGGACACTACTTGAGTCAACAAATATTATTTAAAGCTTTAAATTTAATTTATATACATAATAATATGAAATTAAATATTAAATAAATTCAAGCCATTCATTGCGAATATTACTTCTTAGCTTTCAGACTTTATCAAACTATCTCTTTCAGCTTAAAGCCCTCTATACTTGTGGGCTCAAAGGTGAATTAAGGCTGAAAAACATGCGGTCAGTCACAATGCTGACTGTTTGACATCAGTCGTTTAGCTGGGTCACTCGAAATATACGTCATGAATTTGATTTCATTAGAGGGCCCGACTATTAGGCAAACCTTCAAAGCGAAGCCCTTTGGCTGTGCGTGGCACAACAGCTGCAATTACATGCAATGCGGGCCGCTAAAGCTCGACTGGAGGAGCAGAGCT